AAAATGTAGGCATACTGGAGAGGAGATTATTGACTACATCACAATGAATCTTAATTCAACCCTGTGGGGAATGGCTAGGTCAGAATGATGGAAAAGTTTCTTATCAAGTTTATTTAACAAAGAATGGATTAAATATTTAACATTTTCAGTTCATTCATTATGCAACATCCATCCCTCTCGTTGCATGTCCTCCCTCTTAGGCAGGCTCAGGCCAGAAGCCCTGAAACTCTACTAATAGCCCCTTGCTCGCCTGCCTGGCCCTCTTCCAGCAAGGCACCCAAAGCCCGGCCATGGGGAGCCATAAAGGGCTTGTTTGTGTTTGGTTAGCGGTGCAGAGCACCATGTGAAAAGCTTTATTTCGAAAGGTACTGATGGCTTAAATCATGCAGGAGGAACAGAAGAAAGAATTACAACTGTGTATGGTGAAGCAGGCAGACTGAGGTTCTGGTTCTTACTTACAGATTGGCATATGATTCCAATTAAGGTCTTCCTCCACCTTTTTCTCCTGCACTTCCCCACTCCTCCTCCCTGTGACTGTCTACCCCTCTATGACCAAATTGTGGCTGTCTTCTCTTATTTAGACTCCTATTAATCAGGGTAAGTTTTACTCATGTTGATGAATGGAGGGACTTGATGCCGCTTGGCTGAATGCAACTCAGTTCAACATAATACAGAGTATACAGAAAAAGGCATATTCAAACTTTCTTGCCTTTTTGCTCTTCTTTATTTATTTATTGACACACATAGTTTCACACATGGGCAGTCATGCTAAATAATTAGCCCAGCTCTGGTAAAGCAGGTAAGTGAACTGTGACAGTATATGCATGCAGAGGTAGACAATGCTGCTTCTCATAAATAGTTACTACTTTAGAGCTCTTTTTTCTGTATTTTTATCCCCCCTTTCAAAGTTTTTCCTCCGTGCCAGAAGGAATGCAGTCAAGACTTGGAAAAAAAATATATAAAGCAGCAATTCTCAAGAGGGAGGAATTAGGAAATAGATGATCTCACAGATGGCCTTTTTCAACAAGCTTGTTGTGTTGAGTGTCTATCAGAGATAGACCGAAGCTGCTCATGTTAACTTTAAACTGTTTTGACTACATTGAAATAACAAGATAAGGTTACCAGGAGGGAATTGGGGTGATCAGGCATTCACCAGATAAACTTGTCACCTTAAAATAAATTCTCCATTAAAACTACATGCAGACAGAAAAAGTTAGAATAATTCTTTGTAATGAGACGGTTGGTTTACAGGTGGATTTTATGATTAAAAAAATACAAGCACCTATACAAAAGCAACTTTAAAGCACTTCAAGTTCCTGAATGTTACCAAACTGCCTTTTTTTATGAGGCCAGCACCAGATGTGCTTCCTTATAAATCTGCCATACACACAAAGAAAGAATCTGTGCAACAGATAAGCAGCCAGAGAGGAAGGAGTGTTATGAGTAAGAAGGACAGGTGGTCGGGGCTCGGGCTACAGTTTAGCTGAAACTGACAGGATCACACCTTGAGGTCTTTATTTTAGTTTTGGTTTGTAAAAAAAACCCAATTACGTTGCTTTTTCCTTTCATTGATAATTCTGAATATAACAAAAGTTTCATGTGACATTTTAAGTAACTTTGAAGATTGTAATCTTTGGAGATACAGCAATCAAAAATTTTTTTTTATGTACACATTGTAGCTTCAAGCTACAATTTAAGTGCTGCTTGCACATCACTAAACAAAACACATCTTCTTTGAAAGGGCCTTATTTCATATTGTCTAATTTGACTCTGGTTACCTACATTTTAAGGAAACTCTCATACTAAAAAGAAGTACTTCTATGACTGAGAATTGTACTCCTATAACATTTCTGACTTGCGACTGACAGCATAAGAAATTGTTTTGAAATTGATGCAGTTTAAACCAAAAACCCCATGCTGTCATATTTTGCGTCGAACATGTCTGGGACTCATAATGCAGGAAAATCCTGCTTACAATGATGTTAACGGTGACAATGTCATGTTATAATTTAGAGAATCTCTAGTGCTACTTTGCACCAACAGGTAAAGCTACTGTGAAGAACATGAAGCTTTTTTGTTAATTTTGGCAAGCCCTTTAAAAACAATGGTACATCTCTTTGCTGAGCTTGATGTGAGGACTGGGAAACTGACCTTTTTGTAATTCCACATACCCAAAACTTGAAATCTTCAGTTACTACAGACACTGCACTTGAAAACAAAGCAAACTCCTTCTATAGCCACAAAACATCGGCAGTCTGCTCCTCTGCTATAAACAGACTTTGTTTTAAATGAGATCTGTTCCCCTTTAAGCACACATACTTATCTATCTTCCTTTTCTTTTCTTTTTTTTTTTTTTTACAGTATTCCTATTTTTACTTAAGTGTTAGAGTACTTTTTCCTCCCCTTGAGGTTTTGAACCACATCACATCAAATCAAATTGGCCATAAAGACCTCCTGTTTTGTATCTTTTAAAAATGTTTTTTTTCTTGTTCTCAAATCTGAAGTACAAGGATCTGGGCCTTAGGGTCTGTCAGATAAATAGACAATGGTTATTTTTTCTTTAAGTAAATTTCCCTTCAAGCTATACAACAAATGTGAACAAGGATTTTTATTTATTTTTTCTCTTCTAATTGTGTATTGCAATATATGTTCTCATGTGTTTACCTGTCCTCCTTTGCATGTCTTGTTTATACAGTTTAGCACTCATAAATGTCTTTAACTGTCGTGCCACTGGGATTGTGTAATATAATACACCGTCAGGGATTTTCCTCCCCTCGCCTTCTTTCTTCTCTGAATTCAGGCATGAATAAGCTCAGTCATACAGTTATTGTACTGATTGTTATCTGCAGATTTATACTTTGTCCAGATATGACACGTGAATAATAGATCCTTATTCAAACTGAAAAGACGTGTTGGGACAGTGATCCAACCTGAGGAACTTCAGCCTTCCATTTTTTTTGTGTTCTCAGGAAATGAAAGACACATGATGAATGAAATAAAAGTTCATTTAAAGGACCAAAGGGTTCAAAACACTTTACCTGAAAGTGAAATCATATTCAAAAATACAGAGGTTATGGGACCTTTTGATTAGAATCACATGAGGTCCACCATCTGTGCAAATAAAGCTGAAGATAAAGAGTAAGACGTGGTTTGATCGTTGGGCCCTGTGGTGAGCACCAGACTTCAGAGTGTCGGGTTTACTTGGAGAGCGAGCCGCAGAGAGCTGGGTGTTTCTGACATACTGCCCAAACTGGGTTTGGCTCTGGAAGAGTAGCAGCATTAAATACATGCCTCTCCAAAGTTTAACCATTAACGGCTCACTGTTGGTATTTTGTTCTGAGGGTTCTTTGGATTCATCCATCTCCACTGTCCGAGGTTTTTGGGGAGAGCAGGAAGACTTGGTTTTAAATTTCCTGAGAGTCATCTGTCTTGGCTGCAGGAGGAGGGCAATGACAGAGCGCTCCTCCACGTTCAAGATGTGGGTTGTTGGTGTAGAGGAGAGGCGAGTCCGCCGAAAAGTGCTGATTAGAGAAGTGTGTTTGTGTGCGTGCGTGTGCGCTTGTCCGTGTGCGTGTGTGTGGTCCAGGCGAGGGGCCGAGGACAGGATAACATCCAGCAGACCCATCTGTTGAAAATGACAAGGGTCCTGTCTGGAGAAGCTGTGAACCTCAACCCCCTGTGGCAGAGGCGCTTATACCAAAAAAAAAAAACACACACGCACACACACACACTCATTCCAGAGGCTCATAGTTACAACAGTCTGACTGTCTCCTGTCCCACAGCGTTTCTCAACTTGTAAACAAGTTCCTTTGTCTCAGCTGAAGTGTTTACATCTGAAGTTATGAAAATGTGCAGCCCTGTTTGGTCATTCAAAGCTACTGGCTATCTCTGAAATTCAAAGCACTTAGCACCATCAGAGGTGGTTACGTCATGTTGCAATAAAGCGTTATCTGCAGTCTCTGATACAGACGATCCTGGCAGCGTCTGTTATCTCTAAAGTGCGCTGATAACTGTGGTAAACACTGAGCAGCTCGGTGATGTCACTGTCCAGTTTGTGCAGATGCAAGACGAGGGCGTTGACCTTGGCAGAAACACACTCCTTGTGAGTACACACGGTGGTGTAAGTGTAGGTGTCCGTGCATCTGTCCTTCATTAGATTTATCCAAACATTTCCAGCAGAGCAACTGTGGGGCAAGAATGCAGAAGTCCACTATAGCATGTCAAAAAAGATGATCATTTAATCTTTTACATGTCACATCTTCTGTAAACTTTTCAACCCATAGAAGAAGAAGCCAGGGGAGGAAAAAAAAAGAAGAATTTACACCACACAAGTTAAATTGTTTTGACAGAAACATCTGCAGGAAATCTAATGCAAGCTCCTTCTTAATAAGCCGGGCTATTAAAGAGAAAATAAAATGGAAAAAGCTTTTTTTTTTTTTTCTGCATCTTCAACACTGCAAAGCCTCATTTGGGAATAACCACTTTTTTTCGCCTCTGAAGAATTGTGGTTTTCTACTAAGGGCACCACTGGGCTTGTTTTCAAAGTCCCCTCTTTTTATTTTCGTTTCCTGAGCTAAAACATAACAGGGCATTTCGTAATGGGTCAATTAACCGTTCTTCCTCCTCCTAACATAAGTATGTCTTTGATCTAGTTTGCCCTTTTCCTTTTACCACTGCTCCTTTGTTTGTCTGTTTTTGCTGAAATTCTTTTTTTTATAAACTAGGCCTATTTAATCACTTTTTTTAGGAGGGCAACATTTGAAAAGTGAACTGCCAACAAACATTCACATTTCTTATCTAACATTTGAATTAGCATGAAATAACACCTTCAACAACAGTGAGAATGAATGTCCCTTCTAGGAATTTGTTTTGCATTGGATTGAGGAAGACACAGGGGCGCATTTGGGCCAGGACGTTGATTGAATTGTGTGCCATAAGTCTTGCGATGTTTCCGTCTGAATCTATCACTTTTGAATGTTTCTGTTTCCTGTCATTTATAGAATTTCCGTCCCATCACCAGCGGGTATGGAAGTTACAGTCGTAAACCTTCATACACTCCTGAGCCCCAGTCCCCGCTGCCTGTCCAGTCCCCGCTGCCTGTCCAGTCCCCGCTGCCTGTCCAGTCCCCGCTGCCTGTCCAGTCCCCGCTGCCTGTCCAGTCCCCGCTGCCTGTCCAGTCCCCGCTGCCCGTCCAGTCCCCGCTGCCTGTCCTGCCCACTCACATGAATAATGGACACTCCAGACCCAACAATGGACACAGCTATGGCTATGGAAACGGGCACGCTCAGTACAACAACCCATCTGGACTTTACGACAGCAATGGAGACAGATCTCTGCCGAGCAAGATGGGAGGACTCAGCCTCAGTGCCACGCACAGGTGAGGTCATCTATATGTGTGATGCAATGTTGAGTCATATAGCCTTATCGCTACTAATACTTACCTAGCTTCAGTAGCTTTAAATACAGCTCTTGTTAGGTACACTGGGCAGTAGAATTGACAGTCAAATGACTTCTGTTTAAAATGCATAAACCTTTCCACTGCTAATAAAGTCTTATGTCTAAGGCAAGGTTCTACATTCAAATACGACTAGAGCACAAGATTAAAAATGAGACAATTATTCTCTGGCCTGCTTATAATGGAAGTTTAGTGCAATACAAAAAAGAGCAGTCCAGAAAGCAGGTAACTGCAGAAATTCACCTGAAGGACGTTGGTTTCACTTCTTCTTAGACACAAAGCACAGCACACAAAGAAAAAACCCTGTTATAAACCTTCTGTTCTGACTATTTGACTATTTCTTGTACCGGTACATTAATTACATAGAACCGTTACAAAATTCACCATAATTTTCTGGTGTAAACTAAACTAAATAATGGAACAGTGTGTTTTTATACTTCACTGATCCATGTTGCTGACTCTTCTGAAGACACTAACAGATACACACACAGAAGCACACTCACAGACAAACTTTGGAAGTCTCTGTACACACCTGCACAGATGGCTGTGTGGACTGGAAAAGACATTTGTTGTTGTGTATCCTCTCCAGCAGGCAATAAATGTGTGTGTTTAGTCTCCTGGTGAACATCCTCTCCAGCACTCCCTGATTCCTGGGAAACAGTAAAATAGCAACTTTATACAACTCATTGCCTGCTGTTAATCTTTTATTACGCTAGTTCATTGTTTTTTTTCTCTCTCTCTCTCTCTCAGTCTTACTTTTCTCGGTCTTTTGCGCTCTCTCTTACTCTCTCAAACAAACCACACAAACACACACCCCAAGGCTGGCTGTGAAGCGCATCCTTCAGACTCCTGGAGTCCAGAGACGAACACTAAGTTAAGTGTGTCAGGATTTGAACACATCTGTCAGCAGTCCTGCTCATCTCCCAGAGGCTCTGCCTGTTTGAAAAGTATCCTATGAACAGCATCCATCCTCTTAGGTTTGGGAATCACTTGATGGATGGATGAACACACAGAGCTGCTGTGATTAAGACTTCATGCCTGTGAAATCACATGTCAGTTGTAAAGTGTAGACGCCTGTTTTCCCCCCTCTGCGTGCGCTTCACTGCTGGCTCAGAAAAAAAAGAGAGAGGTGCTCTACTTCATCTGTTTAAACAAAAGAAATAGTTTACTTCTCTTTCTTTGGTGCTCTGGCATCTGTTCTTTTATCTCTTTGTTGAGGCTAAAACTTTAACTCATCTCATCTCTCCCTTGTTCAAACATAAACCCAGGAAAATGAAACATCCAATCACCAAAATGTTTGCACATCTACTTTTTTTAAGAGAAGAACAAACACTGGGTCCTTAAAGGGTTCATTTTCTGTTGTCTTGACATAAGAACAATTTATGATTTTTGTAACTTGCCATCATTTATCAAAGTGGATTGCAATAAAACTGAATCTTGCCCCCCATGTCTCCCTCAGCCCAGAGCCTCCCACACACTCTCCTGTGGGCCGTAATGGTGTCGACACGCAGTCAGACGTCTACAAGATGCTGCAGGACTACGTGGAGCCCGTCTCTGAACCCAAACAGTCAGGCTCCTTCAAATACCTCCAGGGAATCCTGGAGGCAGAGGATGGAGGTAGGGATTCCTGTGAGCATGTGTTCTGTGAAGGCCTGCATGTGTGTGATGGTGGACAGAAAAGAAACCTCCATCTGCATTTTTTTTTTTTTTACAAAAACAGGGACATTTACCGTAGCGCTGGGATTGAGAAAATGTCCACCAAAAGTCAATTTTTATTTGTTGCATAATTTTAAATATATTACAAATCGATAGGAGTTAGGATTCACTCTCACTGATCTTTTGATATGTTTAAAATGACCTTGTTTGTAGTTTTTCTGCAAAATGTCAAAAAGCCCAAACACATTTTCCCGAGCCTATGTTAAAAATGGAATGGAAAAAAAAAGTGTTATGTCCCACCAACTAACCAAATCTTATGAATATAACGTTCAATACAACACTTATAGCCAGAAAAAATCTGAATCATAGAAACTGCTAATATTTAGCATTTTACAGTTTTGCTATAACTGTAAAGTTGACTAATCTGTTCTCTTATTAGTTTTCTTTCTGAAGTTTCTTGTTATGGGTTGGGAATAATAAAAGTGCCCTAATCGTCCTCTTTTGGAACAAAGGTGGCAAAATTATCCATAATTTGTGAAAAGAAAGTTATGCGAAACATTTTGAACTGGTTTCAAATAAAGAAGGTCAGACACGCAGCTGAGGAAGGTAAAAAATCTTGAGTATATTTCTCTGAGCAGATGAGACTTGTGATTCCAGCCAAAGGAACATCTTGCCTTTCTCAGGTGGCTCCTGACTCACTTTGCTGAGCTCTCCATCTCACTGGCATAGTTTTCCTTTTATAGAAAGACACAGACAGCTAGGTTATGGGGATGGAACAGAAGAGAGGGAGAGACAAAAAGCAAGACCTTTGAGGGTGGAGGGGGGGTTGAAGATGAAGTGCTTTAAATAGCTTAAACATGAGTGAGCAGGGGAGGGGAGTTTTGGTTTTGCAATTTACTGCAAAAACAACTTCACTTTGTACAATAAAGATAGAAAGATTGTTTCCTGTCTGCCCCCTGACTGCCTGGCGTTCCAGCTTTTGAGCATGTGATGCTGACAGCAGCAGAGGAAGGCTAATCTTCCGAGCTAAGACATTCCTTTAAGGTTCCATGTTCACCACTGAGCTGGGAAAGAGCAGCGAAAGTTTTAATTATAAGCCTTGTGTTTGTCTGATAATGAGGAAATAGCCTGGACATTGGAGGAGTTGACTTATGACCTGTTGCTACGATTTTCTATGATTAATCAGAGAACGCTGATATGTCCTTGAAAAAACTCCTTTCACCTTTTCTTCTATGAGTGGAGTGTAACCAGCTGTGAATGTACATACAATGTGTAATTCAAAGTCAGCTGCTGTGTTCAGTTGCATTTTCCATTGTCAAACATTCACAGAACGTTTTAGTCCTACAGTTATCTTTTCAAACGGGCTTTATCTTCAATGTGGGAACTGGCACAATAATTAAGGAACAGCCCTGCTTCTACAATGAGGTCTGGAGCTGATCCAGACGTCGGTGTTTCATTGATTCACCACTTACCTTTGCATTCAAAGCAATACCAGAGAAAGAAGAGCAGCAGAAAGAGACAGATGTGAGAGCTACTAAATGGGTTTTCAGGGGCAGAGGCTCTGCTGATGGATCACAGAGGTCTAATAGGTCTGCTGGCAGTGGGCTTACAGCTTGGGAGACTGACAGGTTGATTGACAGGTAAAGCCCTTGATGAAACAAGAAGACACTTTAGGTTTACTTTGGGATTACTCTAAAAGCGATCTGTCTCTTTGTTGATGTTTGGAGCTGTCAGTAATCTTTGTGAGAGAGTGAAATCCTGACACAGATGCTGCCTAAGGTTGTTGTTTAGTTGAGTTTTAGTAGCTCATATGAGAATAAAACAAGTCAAATCTCTTTTTTGACATATGTTTTAGTCCAATCATCGTGTTAGTGAATGCATAACTTGCTGTCAGACTTTTCCAGCACAGTGGTAGGTCTCCTTTTGAAGGAGAAAGCCCCTGTAGAGGCCATGTTGACTTTCAGGGGCTTTTAAAGTTAAAGCAAACAAGAGTGTCAGTTTACCCAGGATTCCACAGACGCCACCATGATTGGATAACACAGAAGTCATTTTACTGATGGTAGAGTTCAGTTGTGTGAAGCAATATTTAAAAAAAAAAAAGAATCAAAATGTGTTACTTTTGTACAATGAGTTAGTTTTTGGTTTCTTTCATGAAGGTTTTCCCCTTAAATGTACTTGAAGGTTTTAAGTACATTTAAGGGGAATAACCAGAAGAAGACAGAATACAACGTGATTGGTGGAGTGTTTTTATGTTATTTATTTTTTCAGAAAAAGAAATAAACCAAGTTTCAGTGATGTTGTCCCTTCCCCGAACTTCAACTTCAAGTTTAGTTGTCTTAGGTTTTTATTTATTTTTAAATATTTGACTTTTGATTGATTATTTTCTGAAAAGCAAGTTTCCATCCATTGGCACAAGAAATTGGGTTTCTGTTTGCAGAGCCTTCTAAAATAAGACGTTCTCAAAACCAGAAGCTTTGAACACATTTAAACACATCTTGTCCTGACTTTATACAGGGATATAAGGATGTAGAAAAGTAACGCATGTTTTTTTTTTGTCTGTTTACTCACACTTCTTCAGCACCCCATACCCTAACTTGTGTCCAGCACCTTCTTTTCCATCAGTATTTTTTCAGTTCATAACTCAGTGAGAGGATCGGTCCACAGACAGCGCTCAGGGGGAGCAGGCTTTGACCTCGATCAGAATAACTCTGACAAAATACATCCATCAGAATCACTGCTGATACTTTAAATCTATAATACGTTTCCTATTATTGATTGCTTCCCTATGTTACCTTTGAATGTTCACATACAGTTATATATATCTAACTTTGAGTTTACTTTGTCTAAAAAACTTTGTTCGATTTATGATAGCTTAATGGAACAGCAGGATTTTAATCATGTGGTGATGACCACAACTGAGGCAGGTGAAGGTGAAGATGAATTTTAAATCACTTCAGTTATCCGCCTCCTTCAAACTCTGTTTCAGATTATTCCATTCTTAGAGATTTTTAGAGAAAGACAGAGAGAGCGTTACTTCCAAATAGTTATTCCTCGTGGAGCAACACAGTGATAGTGGCAATGGTACAAGAGTTAAAGCCCTGGTAAGATTTCAGGTCTACTGGGGATAAACATGTGATTCAAGTGTTGGAGGGTTTAACCCTTTGTCTCTCTGTAGGAGCAGGAGCAGGGGTCTTTTGATAATTCTATAAGTCAGCAAACAAAGTTGTTAATAAGTAGCTCACATTATTTTTGTTCAACCCAGTAGCAGACAAAACCTTGAAGCACACTGTGTGAAGTGATGTAAAGCAACTCAAAATATAAAATAGTAATGTCTGAACTTCTTAATTAAGTGAATTATTGAGGCCCAGTTGTCATCATCTTTGTTGTCACAAGAGTGATATTCAGCCCTGAGGTATGAAAAGGATGGTTTACATAAAATCCCAAATAAAGTTTTCTTTTTACCCGTTCAAGTAGATACCATTCCAGACAACAGCTGTCTTAAATTACACTATTATTGCTGTTTATTTATCTTAGTACATCGTGATTCCCTTTGCCTAACACTCCCCGAGGCTTCACTCTCTGCATTTGACAGATTTCATGTGTGCTAATGTCTACATGTGACAGTTGTAAAGTGTGTCTAGTTAATGTTAGTCACAGTTTGAGACACAAATGGTGCCATGGAAACTATTTGAGGTGAGTTATGACTTTTTAAAACCCCAAATGTAAACACCTGTCAAATAAAACATGGTATCGTTCTGCATTTGGCAACACAAAATGTGGAGCCCAAACCATCTGTCTGTTTTAAAATGTAGAAGCAAGAATAAACAAACACTTATTCATTATATCTACTCCTGACTACAGTCATTAAAGGCTTCTTTTAGTCAACCCTCCCCTCTGTGAGAAAGTCACAAGAGAGCTACACATGAAAGCTCTTCTATTAGAGAGTATAATTGAGTAATAGAGACATTAATCCCAGAAATAACATACCCAGCTAATGTCAGCTCTTAAACACACCATGGAGCAGTCAGAGGCTAAACGTTTCAGAGGGCTGGAGAGCACTTTGAGTCAGGTGCTAGATGAAAGCTAATTAGACTGCGGTTAGTGGCTCTGATAGGTGGCCTGTTGGCCTGGATAACCCCTGCTGGCACATCATCAATACTGAGAAGTCAAATGTGCTGCAGTTTACGGCTCTGCCTCACTGATCTAAGTCGGAAACCTTCAAGTGGCTGCAGAAATCCAGTTTAAAACAATGCTCCTTTCAAATAGTCCAGTCAGGCATGGCTAAAGCTGTGATGGTTCGAGTTTATCAGAAGCGCAATTTGTGGGAAGGCAGTATCCCTCCTTTTTCATGAGACTTATCATCATCAATTACTCTGTAAAAAAAAAAAAAATCATTTTAAATATCGAAGAACATCTCCTTAACATGTTCAAGATATTAAGATTAGACCAAGGCGCTACATTGTTTCTTGACACTGTGATGGATGTCATCATAACTCACCTTGTGTTGTTCACACATATCCCCTGGATTGTAGCACAGTTGTGTGATGGTTGAAGCACGACTCGGTAACTGGCATGTTTTCCCTGCTGAGGGTCTTGCCAGGTTGATTGATGAATTACTACTAAGAAGTGCCGCCACTCACACCTGAACAGAGCAAACATGAAGGAGCAAGAGGCTGTTGGAGGGGAAGAACTGAAACGGACAGAAATAAAGTGAAATGTTATCTAGGCCCAAACTTCATAGAGTGTAACTGGGAATTGTTATCAGCACATACTGTACATTTCACATATCATCAATTTGTTAAAAAAAAAACAATCCATCGGATATGTTGCCCATACCCTTTTAAACATCAAGTTAGTGAAAACTTAGAGGTGTTTCCCTGATTATTTATATTCACGAGGTGCACACAACAATAGGAACACACAACAGTATTTATCAAAGTTATATGTAAGGACAATATGGTTAATAATGCCAGATCAGCAAAAGGTTGTCCTCAGCTAGGTACTCATTGGGAGCTTTTTTTATGACGTGTACACTCCAAAAAGTACAGAACACTAGCAATCATACACATGTTAGTTGCAGGTTGTGTTACCCAGCGTGTGATTAGTTTTAATGATACAGTACATTTATTACTATACTAAGCCCAATGCAAGCAGGACAACACAGCACTCATCTGTGAGGAGGACCAGAAGTAGTGAGAAGTAGTACAGCATGGGAAAAACTGACCTTTAGTACCTCCCTTGAGGGAAGTGTGTGAAACATGAGTCTATCTTTATATAATTTACTGGCAAAATACAAACCTGACAGCCAGCGGGCACAAGTAGTACTACCAGGAACTCAGAGGGATTCCCTGCAGAGTGAAAAACAAACACAAGTACACACTCTCATGAAGCTGGATGGCTTTCTCCCTTTACTTAAAGGATAGGCACTACCTGGAGTGTAGTGGCCCTTCAACAGATGCTCACACACACATTCCTAATATAAGCAGGTTTACCTAGTTCACTTGAGGCCAGCTGGAAAACCCTTTGAGAGAATTCTGCTTGTTTTTAAGTCCTAGCCTTTGACAGTTGACAGTGTAAATTCTTACATTAATTCTGTGAATATTTTTGTTACTTCCAGGTGTTTCCCCAACAGACAGGATGAGGAACTTAAAGTCCCCAATCAGGTCTCCAATCCCCAAACTGGGAAGCCCCATCCCCAGCCCCATGCCTGGTCTTCAGAAGCTACCCCAGTGCACACGCTGCTATAACGGCATTGTGTAAGTATTGTTCACATCCTGGTGTCATTATTAAGCATATACGCAATAATTGAGTATACAACTACACTGAACATTTCAAAGACTACACATGTAAATCTGTCTCTTTAGTTGAAGTTTGTCTGAAAAAGTGTGTGACCATTTTTTTGATACTTTCATCCATCCAAATTTATTTTCAAGAAAAGTAAAAGATTTAATTTGCATTGTGTTACAAAAAAAAGCATGAAAAGAAAGTCATTCGATATCATACTGGAAATATGAATGATTTTCCTTCTTGGAGTTGCTTTTGAAACTATTTTGATTGCCATCTGGGAAAGATATGTTTCGGTCGGATTTTATCACTTTGTCTGAGAAGTTGTAAAGTTTAAATGTTGAACTGTGGGAGGTGAGTCTTGGCTCTTTGCAGATTCTGAAACATTGAAGTGAACTACAGCAGATAAACCTGCACCAACAGGCCTCCGCAAAGTGGAAAATCTATCCATTTATCATCTTAATGATTAATCCAAGCGCTCCTCCGCACCCCTTCTAACTCAATCATGCTTTATACGAAAACTTCCCCGCACACTCACTAAGCACAGGTATCCAATCTTGCAATAAACAGTCACACATAAGAATGAGCACGTACACACACACCTTTCTGCCTAAGTGGCTAAATGCATTGGTAATCCCCCCTCTATAAAAGCAGCTGCAGGTAAGCAGTGATGTCATCGGCTTACTCTAGTTGTTAACAGGAGTGCATTGTGGGAGCTTGCCGGGCACAATAAGGCTCTTATGACCAGTGAGCCTTTTACAGCTTTTTAAACAAATATAGAGCACTGTGTCAATAGTTTACCCAGTCAGTTGTGCGGTTAAACATGCAGAGCGGTCACATTAAAAGGAGCAGGCTGGTGACTGCATGGTCGCTGGCTGAATCCCAAGTCCAGAAAGGAAAATCTAATTGGGAGCGGTGAATGAACAACGCCCTTAATGACTGAGTGAAGCAGTGAACGTCTAAATGCAGCAGTGTTGATCAGCAGCCAGCCGGCAGAATAAACATGTGCCAGTCAACTTCAGAATTCAACGCTACAAATGTGTGTGAACCTTGCTCCTTCTGAAACTCCTCTCAGGATGTCCATCCATCCATCCATTATCTATTCTGATTATGTTGTTAAGTGTCAGGCAGGTGTCAGACCTTCATGATTCCTGCTATGTTATCACATATATGCAAAGGCTTGAATGGTTGAAGTGACTAAAAACGTTTGATAATTGTTGATTTGCATAGACAACAGAAGGTTCAATAAACAACTGGGAGGCTGTTTTGAACATTTTATCATCGCTGACTGACTTTGAATTTATCTGCTCAATGTTTGTACTCTGGGATGATCATGACCTCTGCCTGAACTGCTCAGAGCCCTTGAAAGCATCATTTTCCATCATGTATTTTTATGTTTCTCAGTAGTGCAACCCTTTAGTTTTTCAATTTAAACTTGTCTTTTTTTAATGCACAATACCACCCTGTTTAAATGCATTAAGGAAAAAAATTACATATATAATAATAGTATTAAAGCGCTTTAAGAAAACAAGTTGAGAGGTGCTTTACGAATGTGCCACCTTTCTCTCATTTCATCTACTCTACAAAACATGTAACCCAGTGTTTTCTTTGTACACTGTCAATCATGATTTTATCCAGATTAAGCAAAAAATAATGCATGAAAGAACCACATGAATATTAGGAATCCATCAGCAACTAGCACAATTCTTTTTTTAATTGTCTTCAAACATTCAGTCTTCTCCTTCTGTTTTTACATTTCTCACACTTCCGTCTGCCTTCTTCTCTTTCCAGTGGCACCATCGTAAAAGCTCGGGACAAGCTCTACCACCCCGAGTGCTTCATGTGCGACGACTGCGGCATGAACCTCAAGCAGAGAGGGTATTTCTTCATCGAGGACAATCTGTACTGTGAGACCCACGCCAAGGCTCGCGTCCAGCCTCCAGAAGGCTACGACGTTGTTGCCGTTTACCCAAACTCCAAGGTGGAGCTGGTCTGAGACAAAGACGGAGCAGGAGCTGGATGTAATGTAATATAACAGGGAAAGTAAAATGTAGGTGAACAGGGCTACTGAGTATTCTAGTGTGCATTTATCAGGCTCTGTCAAGCAGGAATGCAGATCTTGGATAAGTTTTGCCTTTGGGGGGGTTCATAAATGTTGTGATCCAAAATCAGCATTTCTACACAGACAGATTGATAAATTCTGTGTCCATTGATAATTATGAGATATGTCGACAGATATGTGGCTTGGATCTGATGAGTGTCCCAAAACTCAAACCCATTTTAAAAAACTGACATTCAATGCTACGTCCCAACATGACAGCACTCGTTTACCAATAAGTGTTGACATTGGATTTTAGATCCATGAGAAACATTGAACTCATCATGTTCATAGACGAGTTGTGCATATTCAAGCTCGCATCCACATTCCAAGCAGAACATGTTAAAGGCCACATATTATGCAAAATACACTTTACCATGTTTTTTAAACACTAATATGTGTCTCTAGTCTGTCTACAAACCCCCGAATTATAAGAAAAGTCTATCCTCTCTTGTCTTTTTCCTGCTCCACTTTTCAGAAAATGTGCGCCCAAACAGACCGTTTGCAGATTTTCCCTTCATGACATCACAAAGGGCAGTAACCCCTCCCCTAGGCTAGGTTGGTGACAATCCCACAGCCAAGTGTTAGTTCTGCACTCTGAGTCTGCCTACTCACCTTAAAAAAAATAGGGCATGGTGCAAGAAAGCCTGAGCCACATCCCCTTTCAGAGAGGGGTGTGGTCAGACACGGCTCACTTCCATTTAAAGCTACAGACACAGAAACAGCCTGTTCTGAGGAGGGCTGAAGTAGAGCGGGTTGTAGGCATGCTAAAATACAGGATCGGAGTGGATTTTTTTAAAAAGAGACTTTTCAGACATGTTTTTTGGGAGCTCCAACACTTCATTAAAGTTGTTGAAAAAGAGTATAATATGTGACCTTTAAAAGACAAATGAAACATCAAATGTACTGATTAAAACAATTGTCAGAAGAATGAAAGATTCAGTTTGAAATTACACCAGCAGACTTCAGCTGCTGCTTTTCAGCAAAATACTCAGTTTCCCATTATAACCATCACTCAGGCCTTAAAATATCTAACAGCAGTGTGTGTTTTTGATGTGGGTTATCACAAGACTATTTTAGTTGATATTTTAATGTCTGTGTTACAGTCATCAAAGGTATAATGTTATATCGTTTAAAACCTGGTGCGGGGTTTGAAGGTGTCAGTATTCTTTTTAACTATGTAACAGTTACACATATTACTCCTCTGGATGGACTTTTGCATTCTTCATTTTACATCTTTGCAGTTTACTTTCAGACTTTCTTCGTTACAAAACTGGGTGACATTCTGTTTGATGGTCACTTTTTTCTGCTCAATTTACACTTATGCAAAACAATAAGCAATATTCATACCAAGCAGATCTTTCAATGTTAGGATATGGAATGCGCGGCTGCGTTTCTTTCGGTGAACAGGTTTACAGAACTCGTAACATGTAGTAAAGGCCTCTGTATGCAGCTATCCAAGCACCACCCTCTGAACTGTAAACAAAGCCCTGCAGGAGGCATCCTCCCAGTTCTCTCAGGAACTGTGTTGAGAAACAGAATTTCTACTCGATGGTATTATAAAAAGCATCACATTGCAAGAAAGGAGACTTAAATAATGCAAAGCATGCACGTAATGATGACATTTTTAACGGTTGTGATAATTTATTCCAGACGATTGTAACTCAAATTCTCTAGACTACCTGTCTGAAGAGGAATTTAAACTCTCCCTCGTGTTCACACCAGAGAATTCCAGTTCAAACCCAGAGCACACAGTTCATCTGGATCACTCCATTCACACTTATGTGTTCTCTGATTCTTATGTCAACTTTTAAAAAATGGTCATGTGCATTCGAGACGGGAAACATGGAAGTAGAAAACTGGGAAACTGGGCAGCTTACAACATGTGTGAGCAATATTCACTGTGTTTGGTTTTTTGGACCCACAACATAGATACATTACAGATCCTCGTAGGGAGAGAGAAACTGAGTGTATGCATAGTTGCATTCCCTTCCTGCTATGAGCTCAAATTTCTGGCCGTGGCTGAAATCCATGACGAAAATGAAATGTACTTTGACATTTCCTCAGAGAGAAGAGAAACAGAAAGCGATGACATGGAGAGATGAAAAGAAGGTGTGTATTTTTCTGCTTCAAAATGAAAGAAATATGATATTGTGACTGCAACACAGGGCCAAAACGTCTTGAATTTTTGTGAATAGTGAATTAAATTGGATAGGGTGATCCTTTTCATAATTGGTAGAGTTTTTTTATAGCTTGTAGTTTGAGATGAAAGATGAATTTTGCAGTGCAGGTATCCTTGAGTTTGTTCAAGATATCGTCAATGATGTGTAGCTGCTGGTATGCCGTCTGTACTAGTTATCTTGTAAATTATGTGAAAATTATATTGCTACCACATTGTTCCTTTTGTATTGTACATATTTGTTTTATGATGATATAACGTATAAGTCATGTGCCTTTTCATACTCATTGTTTCTAGATGATTTCTTTGACACAAATCTTTTTTCTTGTGTTTAACTTATTGTCCTACAAACCCATGTTTTTGTTCTGGAGCTTCTTATTGGCTTTTCTTCCCCCTCGAATAACTAAATAAAATGAGAAGTGCTTTACAGTGGCGTGAGTGTTCACATTCTTCACTGCAGACTTTTACAACATGTTTTAGAGCTGTGCAGTGAAAAACACAAGAGGTTCAGGTTTTCTTAGTTTGACCCCCCCCCCCCCCCCCCCAGCTCTAACATGGAGGTTATTGTGCAAGACCACCAGGTAGACACGCACTTAAAGAGGCTTTACATTTGAGTGTAAAGTTATCAAGACACAAAACCTGGTGTTGTGTTTCCATGGTGTCTCATTCAACTTTAATGCCAAGGAGAATAAATGCATTTTGTAACTGAACATCAGCAGCCTCCATGCCAAACATTACTGTGAAAACCCAGAGTGTGAAGTTATACATAAAGCCTGGCTCTAAAGAAATCAAACGTTGGTGCCTGTTTCTGGACAGAGTGTGAATTAAACCAGCAGCCTATCTTACTTTAAAGTGGCACTCTGAAAAGCATCTTGAGGGTCGTATTTCTTCACTGTAGAGTCCTGAAGAACTATTCAGACTGATTCCAAAAATGACATCTGTCCTCTAAGTGAGTTTAAACACAGACAGAGATGTACGGTGGCCAGCAGGGGCAAATGTGCTGAGCTTCCATCGCAATCTCAAGAAATGTAACATTAGGGTTTTTGCAATTATTTTTCATTTCTAGCATCTTGATTTCAATCGTGTATTTTCAGGGATAATTGCTGTTAATGAACTTCTTCTGGCTTCTGCAGCATGGTTTATATTTGCAGCACATTTTTGTAGGTTCATTTGTGAAGTATTTTTGAATGAGTTTTGGTTTTGTTCTGTCTTAGAACAGATATTTAGTAGACTGCTGCAGCATGTTTGCTCCTCCAAGCCACCACAGTAAGGGCCAGATGGAGCTAAAAGAAAAAAAGACATCATAACAAGCAAAAGACATGGCTGAAGCAGATGTGTAAAAAAGTGACAAAACAATCAAATAGAATGAAGAGAATGCAGAACAAAATAAATCTTTTAAATTATCATTACCCATATCACATGCGTTCACATCTGTGCATGTTAAAATCAGAAATGATCGCTAGCATGAACATGAATCTTATTTTTGATTAGTTGGCGTTTTTTTAAATTATCAAATAAATCAATAATTAAAGGGCTTTTTGGGTTTTACGTGAAATGTTGCAGCCCATACATTCCATAAAAAAACACTGACTCTCAGCATTAAAGGGAAAGGTTGAATTAAACCCTCATTTAGTCCTGCAGTTTACCTCTAATTGTTCTTCAGGAAATTTGATAATTAATTAACTATATTAGTCCAAATTGAATGTGATACTATAACAAGCCATATCAGGAAAAGCCAATTAGACTCTATCTGCTTTAATAGGGCACTTAAAGAAGTAGGCCTAATGCCTTTCTGGGAAATGGGCCAATGGTGCTAAAGCATTCTCATTCTTTGTAGCGTTTGCTTTATGGCACTGTTAACGTGTTGTCTTTCATCACGCTTGCAGCTTCTCATCTTACCGTATGTGAGCGAAATGTCAAATCTATATAACACATACAGTTGCAGTCAGTGGCTCGGATTCAAGGGAGTTCCTGTAATCAAGACCAGGAGGCGAGAGACCACCTCACAGCTCATTTAATGACCTCGCACCTTCAGAAGTAGCTCGTTCAACATCCACGGTGAGTGTGCGGAAAAATAAAAGCTGCTAGAATAGAGAAGAGGAGAGAAGTAAACAAGCCGTTACTCCTGTATAATCAACATTACTCACTTTTGCTTATGTTTACCGTATGCATGGCACAAGTGCTCAGTCACAATTGTAACATTATATATAGATTCATATTCTTATTGTTGTTCTACAGGCATAATGCAGAAATCTATTATGAGTATTAAATCAAGACAGAATTACTTAAAGAAAGGTTTTTCTTTCATTTTTCCTATAATGATAGTCTGTATACCTACCACAGACAAAGAAGCCATACTGGGACTTTGTAATTGAGTTTGTGAAGTAAATATGAAATTACCTTAAATTTGGGGTAAAGGTAATTCACAAAATTGGCCCACACGGAGAGTGTAAGCAAAACTGAGGCCATGAAAGATATAGAGAGAGAAACCCAGACAATACAACTTGAAAACAAACTCATGTTGTCTTCACTCACATCTATAAACATGAGGTCTACTTCACTGATAAACACTTCATGTAGCTCAGAAACTGAGCTCCCTTTCCTCTGCATGACTGCAGCAAAAAAGACCAGAGTCCATAAAATGCCAGAGAACTGACCAGGATCAGGTTCTTCACGTTGGCCTCTTTGGAGAAATTGATTTAAATTGTTGACAGTATTGCTTCTCTTATACAATATAAGTATTATTATGTTTTAAGTATTTAACCACATTAACCATCTTATGGATCTGCTGCTTGAACAAATTTATAAACTCCTATTTCCATCACTTTGTTTCCCACTTTCACATCCGGACAGTCATCTTTCTCCATTATTCTTCCTCCATAACTTTGTTTTAATAAACAATGAAATTCGAACCCCAACAACACTTGTAAAATGAAAATTCTTTTGAAATGACAACTCAGATAATGCCATACTTTCTCTGAGTTAAAGAGTTTTTCCTGTTCACTTCTCAGCTTTGTGAAGCATTCTGCTCATTCCTGATCTTCGAGCTCATACGGCACCAACCTGTTGTCTGTGACAGCAGTGATTTGTGTAGTCTCACACGATGAGTGCAGACTGTACTTTTTGTATAGGAGACTTTATGGTACATATGGCAGAGCAGCATTCTGACCATTCCTCCTCAGATACAGATTGAAGACATGACCCATAAAGATCTAC